CCAGATACAGCACCATGCCACATCCAAACCCTAGAGCAGCACCTGAGCCCGTGAGAGAAACTGCAGCACAAACCAACATCACAAACGATTCTCGCTTCGTGTTCATGTCCTTAGAAGCCATGGCCAGTTCAATCCCTGCGAATAACAGGAGTACCCCAAGGATTCCTATCGGGAATTCGTTCAGAATCCTAACGAATGAGTTCCCCAGAACCAGAGCAAGCACCAATTTCGCGATCCCCAGAAATACCACTGAAGCTCCGCTTCTTCCCCCAAATCGATACTGACCGGCCAACCCACCAGCTCCGTGGCAGCAAGGCATGGCGCCGAACCAGCAACCCACGAAGTTCATCATCCCGACGCTCACCGAAACTTTCATCGCCGAAGCTTCTTTTTCGGGGAACAGATCGCCTGAGAGTTTACATACTGCTATTACTGAGTTTAAAATTGATAGTGGAATCTGCGGAATCGCTCCCCGGAGAAACCCTATCTTCCAATCCTCCCACGTGAAGTGCATTACGGAAATCCTCGATGGACCGAATCTCAGATCCTTGATTATAGAAGGGTCACGGATAAAACAGAGGATCAAGCCGAATAAGAACACTATGAGAGCAGCTGGAATTGCTGATAAAACCCGCAATCTCCTTCGAATCTTGAGCTTCGGGTCGGGTTGAGTTTCGTTTTCTTCTTCCTGGCTGAGATTCATTGTTTCGCTGTGATCATCGACCCCGGCGCCAGTGGTTAGGATGAGAAACAGAACGGCCGAGAGAGCGATGATGAGGCCGTCGAAGCCTAGCCAGGAACGAGGAGGACCGGATTTGGAGGCGGAGATGTCTTGATAGTAACGAATGTATTTGACGGCGGAGAAAGCGAACTTGAGACCTTGGGAGAGTTGGATGCCGCGAACTACGGGGAGTGGGAGGTAACGATAGAGGAAGGTCATAAGGCCGGTGCAGCCGAGGAGGAGGAGAACAGCGGCGACGGACAGGCCGGCGGCAGCTATTTGGGGGATAGTGAGGGGAGGCGATTCAGAGATGGCGACCGCAGCGATGGACTTCATGGGCTGGACCGGCATGGGAAGCCCGAAGAGCAAACCGGTGGCGATATTATAGAGAGAGGTGAAGACGAGGGTAGTTGTGAGGTCCAGGTTGTTCACCAAAGCAAGAGCCAGAACGATTGGGATGTACGTGCCGAGATCGCCGACGGCCCCAGAGAGCTCCGACCAGAGTGAAGTTTTAAGCTTGATGGAATCCGGTAGGCGAGGGCGCGGCCACCGGTTGCGTAGTAGAGGAGTAGTGACGGTTGGATGATCATCGGAGACAGAGTGTCCCGCCATAGTATGGCGGAGAAGATGGTGGCGGAATCTCTGGTTGATTTCCTCGAAATCCAAACACTCGCATATTATATATCAATAATGATTGATAATGGTTAATAAATCAAGCGAGCAAGCCAAGCCAATTAGGCAAGCATGATGGTGATTACGATACGTGAGGCACAGATGGGTTTTAACTTTTAATTCACTTAAATATCTTTTTTTTTTTTTTAATGTTGGTTTTGATTTTCCAGCCAAATGGTTTTTGCTTTCAGGTTTGTTTATTGGGTGGTGTCAAGTGCCATTATTTATTTAATTTTTTTTCCCATCCCAAGTTGGCATGGGATGAGAACTATATGAACGGATGAAAGTTGAAATACCAAAAAGCGAAGTGAAGAACCAATGCTTTTGACTTTTGAGAAAAAAGGAGGGTGACGCATGAATTAATAATTAGTTTTTGTCAACCTCAGTGAGAGTAAAATTTAGATTCTACTCCTCCGGTCCTTATTATAAGATCCCATTTGACTTTTTATTTGGTCCTAATTATAAGACCCCAATCCATTTTGTCTCTTATATTTATGCATTTTTTCCAAGATAATCCTTCTAATAATGATAGTTTTAGCCAATATACTTAATTAGTAAGGATATTTTAGGAATGACAACACTTATTTATTATAAATAACCAATTTAACTTACTTCCTTAATCTCTTCAAATAAGTCAATTGGATCTTATAATTAGGACCGGAGGAGTAATTTTTATATTCGAAGCACTCAAATGATAGGGCATCTAAAGAAAGGCCAGCCATGAGCTAACGAAGAAGCAATCATCCTATCAATCTTCACCTTTCAATTCGAGTCCACTGGTCACAGTACAGAATAATTTTGAGACTTTTAGTTCACTGTTAGAGATCTGCACACTGTTAACAATAATTTATGTTGATTTTGAGGGTTTCTTTTTTAATTTTCATTTACTGGGTTCAACAGGTGTGGTCCCTTGTGTGCAATTATGATAGATATTGAGCAGGGAATTGTAAGTAAAAGAAAAAAGAAAGAAAATTATGGTCAGCCTTTTTTGTACAAGATTATTGAATTTGATGTTCCTGATAAGTGAGAAGGTGGTTAATTTATTTAAGTGTTAACTATTATAGTTGATTCCCATTTGACATGTAAGTAGAAAGTTAGATGGAGTTAGCCATTGAGAAATTAGAAGCGTAACGGAAGTTCAAATCTGAGTGGGAGCCATTGAGCTGATCCCCCTTGACCTTTAGGTGCGTCTCAAATCAAAGATCCTTGTCTGCTTACATCACGTTTGTGTCTGCTTCATGGGTTTCTGTTACTTTTCACGCCCTCTAACTTCATTTATCCCCTCGACACTGATCCGGGTTATCAAATGTATACTCCTGATGGTATTTATAGAATACTTTTAATATATTTTATATGAATAAAAAAAATTTTAAACTACATTAATTTTTTATTAAAATATAATAAATTTTTAATTTTATTTTCATTTATTATATACACTTTTTTAAAAAAATTATTTACACTATAATAAATAAAAAATAAAATAATATATTCATACTAAAAATTTAATAAAATGTCTTATAAACATATTAAAAATATATTTTTCTTTATTTTATACACAGGACCGGAGCAGTAAGGAATGACGCAGAGTTCCATGAAAAATTAACGTCATCTTTCACTAATGTTGTCATAAATAGTAGTTGTACCCCTTAATTTTCCCTTAGAAGTAAATATTGGTGATTTTGACTAGTATTACGTTTCGATTCACAAGGCATTTTTTGTGTAAATTGTGAAGACCAATGAATCCTTTTATTTTTATCTTTGGTCTTTTTTACCTTCTTATTTTTATTCTTATTTCTATTGTGTTGGGTTGGCTTTCTGTTTCAGGGGATATTTAGATGAAACCAAACTATGATTTAAAGAATAGTTTTTGGAGAAGAGATTTTTAAAAAAATAGATTTTGATAAAATGAGAATATTTGGATAATTGTTATCAGAAGCACTTTTTATATGTATAAATTACTAAAAAGAGCATAAGTTAATATGATGATTACATAAAAGATAGATTTTATAATATATTTTTATTTGAAGTAATAAATTTTTAATAGTATATTTTTTTAACACAATAAATAATATATAAAAACGTAATTAATAAATAATTAGTATGTATATATGTATTTATAAAATATAAGATTAAATATGTTTTTAAAAAAATAATTTTTTTTGTCAACAGAAAAATATTATTTTACCTTAAAAATTTTAAATATGAAATCCCATAATATTTTTTCACAATTAGGTTTTTTTTTAACAATATACTAACTCTTATTTTTAATATAAGAGCTATTTTGATATTCAATTTGGTCTTAAATATAAAACTCAAATCCATTTTATTTATTATATTTATCTATTTTTTTAAAGTAGTCCTTGTAGTAATTATACATGTTAAATATTTCATCAAATGGTACTTCTAGCAAATACACATGATTAGAACGGATATTTTAAGAAAGATAATACCTATTTATTACAAATAGTTAACTTAACTAATTTTTTTAATCTACTCAAATTAATTACCTAACTTTTATATTAATAATTAGAAGTAGTATTACGATGTGAAAAAAAAGGACCATATTTTCAAAAAGCAAAATTTTTTTTTTTGCTTTTCGTGAAATTATGGTTTTGGAACAAACTAAGATTTTCTGAAAAATCAGCTTGTCTAAGTAATCTCTTGTCAAAACCATGGTTTAGGGTGGAAAAGCACTTTTTTTGAAATTGCCAAACACCTTCTTAGTTCATTTGAATTTTGTTCAAATTGACTGAGTGTTGCTGGCGAGTTTTTTTTATGTGATTTTTTTATTTGAGTTTGAATAAAATTGACATTTTATAAAATTGTTTTCAAGAAATTCGTTTCATTTACCAGTAATCTCTAATTGACTCACACTTAATTAATGAAAGGTGTTTTTAGAATAAGGTCATTGAGAAATTATTATTTGCTTCAGAACATCTTGTATTAAGAAATATCAAACCATTTAAAAAAAGTTAAATTTAAAGGGTACTTCTACTTCAACTGGCGGAGGGGGAGGATATATTTTTAGATACCAACTACGTCTAAGTTCTACTACCTTCTGTCTCTAGTATAAGATTTTATTTTATTTTTATTTTTATTTTAAATATAAGATCTCAATCTATTTTGTTTCTAATATTTATGTATTTTTTCATAAGATAGTTCTTCTAATAATAATAATTCTATCCAATATACTTGATTAGTAAAGATATTTTAAAAAAACAACGTCTATTTATTACAAATAACTAATTTAATTTATTTTCTTAATCTTTTTAAATTAATCAACTAGTTATTATAATTGGTTCCGGAAGCAGTAATAATGTTTACATTCGAGAAGGAAGGGAATATACAGACACACCAGACCCCACTTGCACCCACGGTTCGATATCTTCGTCATCACATCACAGTTGCAAATTAGCAGTAACATGTAACATGTAAAAATGAATTCCTAAAAATAAAATGTTACTCTTTTTATCTTAAATATCAGATTTATTTTATGATATAAAATTATAACAAAAAATATATTTTTTATGAATCATTAATTTTAATTATTAATATCTAAAAGGCACGTTTTAAGTGTAAAACCAAACTACGTACACTATTATATTACTTTTTTATTTTAAATATAAGACTTAATTTATAATATAATTTATATTTAGTATATGAAGAATAGTTAATTTGACTCACTCTTAATTGAATTAAAAAAAAAAAAAAGACACAACCTTATTAATTATTATAACGCTCCTCAGTACTATAAGCCTGCACTTATTTGCTTTACGCGCGCGCGCGCATATATATAAAAAATATATATATATATATATAAATATTATGACTCTTGCCCTCTTTCTACACCGATGATTCAAGACATGGATCTCCTCCACTTAGGATGATGAGCCTTAGCCTTGAGCAGTCTCGTCCTTACGTGCATAGGCGTTTGTGCCTGGAGCCCCACAGTCCCATTGTCATCATTTTCATCTTCTGTGCTATTCATCTCCACACTCCTACTCCCGCCGCCTCTGGCAGTAGAGGTGGCCATTATCGCAGGCTTCTTCCACCAGAAGAACCCCAGCTTCCTCTTCTCCGTCATCTTCTCCATCTGCGCCTGCATCGCATTGCATTGGCTTTGCAGCCTCACCACCTCTTCCTTCAGCTTCTTTATCTCCTTCCCTTGGTTTCCCACCATTTCTCGCCTCGACACGCACCTCGCCGGCTCCAACTGATGGTGGTTCAGTTTGGTTTGCTCCGAGAAGAGCACCTGCAACACTGCTCGGACCGGCAAGCGTTCGTTTTGAGCCGCATGAAGCGACGCCTCCGGCGTGAGTTTGCTGCTATCTATCAGCCTGCACAATCTCTTCCTTGCTTGCTTCGATACCCCTGTATGCGCCTTCAACAAAATCACTGTCACTTTCCTGGATTCCTAATTAATTGTATCAGGTGGCTTTGATTTTGTATATTAATTAACAGTAGATTGATAGGTGGATAGTTAACTCGATCCATAATGAAGCACTCTGACTAACATAATTAAACGCATGTCACATACTTTGAGGTAAGTGTCAATGGCTCTGTACAAGCCATCGTCTGTAGTTCTTGCATGAGGAGGAAGAGCTCCGGCGAGCGCAACGAACTCAGACAGGCTCAAATTGGCATCAATGGCTGCCTCGGCGAGGTACGAATCCACTAACTTAGCTACCTTAAGCAAAGCAGCACCGCTCTTCGCTCCCTCGCCATTCAAACTCAGGAACTCATTCACCAACCTAATCACGAGCTCTACATCCAATAATGTCCCGCAGGTGTGATTGAAAGAAGGAATCATTAGCTCCTTCAACAAAGCCTCATCCAGCTGCCGCGAAATCTTCTTCTCAAGCTCCGATCTGAATGCGGCCTCAACGCCGATCATGTTGGCTGTTCTGAGAAGGCGAAGCAGGAAATTACAGGGGATCGAGTTTTTCTCTGGAGGCAGAACGCCCACTAGGGTTTCGACGAAGAAGCGCTTCTTCATCCACGAAACGGCGACGCTTTCGGGGGATTCCTGGAATTGGGTGAGGCTTCGTTCTGCGACGTCGATTGAAGAGAGTTCAGGGAGCCATTTGGAGGCGTAGTGAGTGATAACGGAGCCGATTAGGTCTGCACACACGCCTTTTGATTTAATGCCTGAGAGAGTTTTCACGAAGAAGTCGATGTCGAGAATGCAAGCATCGTCCAACCAGCTCTCAGAGGAACACCCATCTGCTTGGTCGGACTGCTTCGTCATCATTTTGGTGGTCGTGAGAAGAAGAAGAAGAAGAAGAAGAACCTCGTTGCTATGGCGGAGCTTCTGGTGGTAAGGATCTCTGGTTGATGCATATATAGAAGGAAGGAAGATTTTTTGAGGAGATGGACAAGGAAATTAAGGGACCACAGATTATGAACACAGCACAAAATATTCCCTGACTCGATCGGACGGAGAAGATGAGTTAAAGTGATGGTCGGAGGAAGATATATATGAGGAAGAAGAAGATCCACAAATGCATGAAAGCGACTTGAAAAGCAGACGTCTCTCTTCTCTCTTCTCTCTTCTCGTTCCTCGTCTTTGCATGTGCACAACATAATCCCAAGGAATCTCAATGGGAATAGCAGACAATTTTCCAGGTTTTTTTTTTGGTTGCCTTTCCTACTCCGTACTGGTCTTTTAATCACGAGTCTATGGCACCATGATGACATGTGGAGCTCCCAAATGCTCACGCCTTGCTCTTGGCGGACAAAATCATACTGATCTTTTAGTACAAAATTACTTAAACAATAAGTTAACTCAGAATCAGATACATAATCATAGAAATCATGAGATGCGCGAGATAATATGAATGAATGGTTACGCACCTTTTAGCTTACCTCCCCTCTATCCACGTATTTTGTAAAGTTTTTATTATTAACTACTGGCTTCTATTCTAGTTATAAAATTCTGCTTGTAGTCTACAAATAAGTTTTTATAATTAAGATTAGAAGTAGTATTATCTTAATTTAATAATGCAATTAGTAGATTTGTTTTCAGCTTTTTAATAAACCCCATTAAGGAGCCAGTTTCGGTGTTGAGCATAATAATGCTTAACTTTAGAGTTAATTCTACATCATTCAAATATGGTTTTAATAGTCTTGATTTGAAAAATTGACATTCAAAATACTATATTTATTTTGGATTACGTACATATTTAAAAAAAATTTAAAATAAAAATATGAAAAAATTAAATCTCAACCATTCATATTAAATTTTATGGTTCATATTTAATGAATATCATGGTACTCATCGAATTCTACTGAAAGTAAGAAATGGATGAGCATTGTCAAGACTCAAAAGTGGGATGAGCATTGTCAAGACTCAAAAGTGAATAAAATCACTTATAGTTATATTTCACATAAGTCGATATAAAAATTTTCTCATATACTTATTTTGTATTCTATAAGTCACGATTGAAAAAGCTGTCTATATTCCAAACGGCCCTTTAGATGACACGTAGCTTGTGAGATCATTGTTGTTATGTATACATATTTTACTCGTTGGTTTTGAAGCAGACAAATGCATCCCCGGGTATTGGGCCCACTTCATTCATTATTTGGTCCAGCCCACCGAAGAATCTAAAGAGACTCATTGCTCCACATTTGATTGGGCAAGGGAATATCGGTTATCCATGGCAGGTTGGTTCTCCTCCTCCTTATTTGTTTAGGGTGCATGGGTTGATATTTTTCCATCACTCTTGTCTTGTTGCAACTTGCAATCAGGTTTTCCGGCGTTTGGGACGGGCTTTCGCTTCCATCTGATATTAAGCGTCCCCCAGAAACAAGTGCCCGAAAATTAGGATTTCTTCTTTTCTCAGCTATATATTTTACCTTTTTTTTTTGGGTAAATATGTGAATTTTTACTTTTATTAGAGGAGGAAATGAGGAATGATGGAGAATCTGACATGGTTCTAGTGTCTTCAACTCCCTTAAAACCACACAGCTCCGTAACAAAATAGTTTGAAAGCATAACTCGTTTGGCTCACTGAATAGAGAACAAAATGGGGGGACATAAATTATGCAAACAAGTTCTTCCTTTCAGGTTAAAAACAATACTCCCTCCAATTCAAAATATAAGCTAAACTTAGTTCGTGGGGCTTAAAATTTTTTTTATAAGGTAACATTTACTTTTGTCTGAGCATTTAATGAGTTTTTTTTTTAATTTTACCTCTTATATATTCTCTTTCCTCTTTGATTCATTTATTGCATCTTTTACTTATTCTTTTCATTAATAAGGGTATATTTGGAGGAAAAAAATACCTACCTTATATATTTATTATTTTAAACTGATTTTACTAGTTTCTTGTAAATAGATAAAGTTTATCTTATATTTTAAACGGGAGGGAGTACTAAAAAAGTCAACATTCTGTAAAGGAGAAAACTTTGATGGAAAGGACTAAAGAAGTGAGGACCAAATTGGTGGAATACCCTGTTTCTGGGGTTTGTGGATGGAGAAAGAAATCCTTTAGTCTGAAGAACAGCCTCCATTTCTCAGTTGCTTGCTTCAGGCCTTCAGGGAGGCGAATGCAGACAGAGAATCATAGGAGCGAGAGAGAATGTAACCGGGGGAGGAAAAACAATTTCCAAAAAAAAAAAAAATCTTAAAGGGAGTATTTGCTAGGTGTTAATACCTTTTATATGTGTAGTTTAACGGAATGAATTTCAGTACCCATTGTAGTAATAAGCATCGTAATACTTATCAAATTTTCACCATTCAAATTTAATATGAACGGTTGAGATTTAATACTTAATATGTTTGTTTTTCAAAAAACATTTTTCTAATAGATACATAATTCAAAATAAATATAATTTCTTAACTATATATTTTTAAAAAAATTAGTTTTTATTTAAAAATCACTAGTTAAAAATTTTAAGTCTAAACCATTAAAATTAATTTTAAATAGTTTAGATTTTATTGCAACAATAAATATCATAATATTTATCACTGTGATTAATATTGAAACTGGTTCCATAGTTTAGCAGCCTCCACCGAACCCTCAAAGCAAAGGTTGAGGTATGAGGAAGGCAAGACAAGACTAAGCAGGTGGGAATTCTGAAATTTTGGCAAATAAATAAACAAATATATGAAGCCTGAAAGGGAAAAAAACCACAAGGGGTCGGTAAATTTAAGGGACAAATTCAATAAAGGACCATGTAAGGCACATAATTAAAAAGTTAGACCCAAAATATTTTGAAATTTCATAGAAGATCAAGGGAATGATTTAACATTACGTTCCTATGATCACAAGAGGAAGTAATCAATTTCAGGTCTTAGAAAGTTAAACAAGAATTATGGAAATGATATGTTAAGATATTCTAAAGTCATTTTTATACCCTCCAAGAATTTTTTGTAACTCTATCAGTTATCACATGTATAATGTGGATATCACTTTATATTTGGATTAGTTTAACTTTAATTACTCCTCTGATTCTTAATATAGGACCCAATTGTTGAGTTGATTTTAGTCCTAAATATAAGACCCAATTCTCATATTTATCAATTTTTTCTAAATTACCCATATGGATACTCCCTCAACCATAATCAAATAGAAGAGGAAGAGAGGGTATTAAGAAAGATGATTATGGTATTTTAAGAAAAACGTATCACATTTCTTATAATTAACTAACTTCCTTAATCTAATCAAATTAGTTAAATGAGTTTTATATTAAAGATCGAAGGAGTATTATAGGAGTGAAAGTGTTTATAAACAGTAGTGGCTTATATTTATTTAGATCCTAAATAAGTAGGAACGCAAAAGGATTCCATGAGCAATTTTGGCAGCAGGTGAAGGAAGTCCCTACAGGTCAGTTTCTACTTTCTATACCATCCACCCAAACACGCCCCATTATGTAATTGTTTGTCAAAAATCAGAATACTGGCAGCCCCCAACACACCATACGTAGACGAATCATATAAAATTTAATAAATAACTCTTATTATTTATGCCCTGTTAATAATTTATCTCGTGATTAATTTTATTATCTGTATTGATGATTTGATATTGATGATAAGTGTCGCACATAGTTATATTTTTATGTCAATTTTTAAATGTATGACTGAAAAAATATAAATTCGTAGTTATTTACCTCAACTCTTAAATACTCTTTTGTTCTTCGGATAATTATTTAAAGCAAGGGGGGGGGGGGAAGGTGGAACTTGGGTCACTTGACAACAAATTACAAAACTCCTTGGACTTTGCTTGTGCAATGGCAACAAACCATATAATGGTAATAATGCTCAAAGAGAACAACCATCATCAATTCATATAAATTCATATATCTATACTTGTAAATTCATTTTAGAGGATGTTTGGATGGATTCAAAACTATGGTTTTAAAAGTACTTTTAGTATATGGAGGAGTTTATCTTGATTTGTGTAAAAAGCATTTTTAAAAAAGCATTTTTCCTGATAGCCAAACACCTCCGTAGTAGCAGTAAATTTCGTTTCATGAAAATGGGAAGATTAGACAATGTGGGCCCAACCACAAAATTGGGCCAGTGGGAGCCCAAATCATTGAGATTCCTTAGGCCCATACCTCCGGACCCTCTCATCAATCCACTCTCTCATGTCCTTCAACACCAGATTAGCGCAGTCGTCGGGCTCCCCTTGGATCAGCGAATGGTACATCCCATCGTAAAGCTTCAAGCTCTTGTCCTCACTGGATGCTTTCTCGTACAGCAGACGCGAAGATGACGGGCATGTCACTCCGTCGGCGGTTCCGTGGACAGTGAGAAACGGCGCCGTCACTCGGGAGAAATTATCCTGTATGTACTGGCACACCCTAGCCAGCTCCCTCATTGTGCCAACCCTAGGTGGGCCCGTGTACCTTCGGGGATTGGACGCTATGATCTTCAGCTTCTCAGGGTCCTTTATGGCTTTTCCCACCATTTTGTTGTCCGGCATCGTCGCCCACGTGTCAGCTATCCCGAACAGCAGACCGTACAGGAACAGCCGAACCTGTCATCCACCAGAAAATCACCAACCCCCTTAACATTTCTTTACAAAACAATTTCGTCGGCATTTAAGTATTTAACAGCTTGTGAAGACAAAGTTATTTAATCAGATTACCTAAATAAATTAGTATCTCACGAAAATTCAATACTTCTTCTGATCTTAATTATAAGAATTAACTGATCAATATGAAAATATTAAAAAAATAAATTAAATTATTTATATATAATAAACATATATTGTTTTTTTTAAATATTCTTAATAATCAAATATAATGGCCAGAATTATCATTATTAGAATTAATTTAAAAAATATATAAACATGACAAATAAAATATATTAAAATTTTATATTTAAAACTAAAATAAAAACTAAATAAGATTTTATATTATTCATCGTAATATGTTTTTTTTTAAAATACCTTGCTGGGCTTCATGTTCTCGGGCATGACGAACAGCGGGGGCCGAGAAGATCAGACCGGTCCACGTGTCGGGGTCGGATTGGAAGTACATGAGCATGGTGGCGGCGCCGCCCATGGACTCGCCGAAGAGGAAAGCGGGAAGATGCTTGTACTGCTCACTCCGGCGGACATGAAGAAAGAAAGAGAGGGGAAGAGGCGGCGACCTTCTCCATGTCGCCGAGGTAGCATCGGATGCCGTCGGATCTGCCGTGGCCGAGGAGGTCGGCGGCGAAGACGGCGTAGCCCCAGGTGGCGTAGTGGATGCAGATCTTCTGGAAGAGCCAGCCGGTGTCGGAGCCGTAGCCGTGACTCATGAAGACGGTGGCCTTAACGGGAGTGGCGGGATCCAGAGGAAGAAAGGATTGAGTAAAGATTTTGCCATTGGGAGTCTGGAAGTAAGATTTAGAATTGCGAACTCCTTGAGAGGCGTAGTAGTCTTCCTCGGGCATATCGCCCCAGAAATTAGGAGGAGTAGTTTCAGAAGAAGCCATGATGTTGGGAGGCAAAGCAAGGAAGGCGTGCAGAGCTGTGATTTTAAAGAAGCCACTTTGGATCTCTGAGTTTCGTGCTTCATCAATGAAGAGATAACACGCCCGGGAGTTGGTGAATCCACTTTTTTTTTTAAATTTAAAAATAACTAGAAAATTGGGTTGGTGGATGGTGGGTCCCGAGAGGTTAGGTGCACTCTATTTCGTTTTTTGGGGTTTTTGAATTATGATTCCCCACTGTGGAATTATTTTTTTATAATCTTTCCTTTATTGTAAGGCTTTTTTTTAAACTAAATTATGTGATTTTAAAAATAATTAATATGTAATGAATGTAATTTTTTTCAAATATACCCTATACATAAATAAATAAATAAATATGAAAGGATAATAATAAGATAAAAGAAGATAATGTATTAAATATATTAAATTAGAGGTAAAATAAGTAATAATATATTAAATATTCAGACAAACTCAAAAAAAAATTATAAAAAGAAACAGACCTATTCATAAAATTGGATCTTATAATAAAATATAGAGGGAGTAAGTTATTCCTTTGACCATCCCTGTTTATTTATTTATCTGTTTATTCTTGGAATTAAACATTGCGTGAGCTAATTTAAGACTAAAATCTTCGGGGGGAAATAAACAGAGAGAATATTGATGATTTAGCCGTGAACTACACGTAGGTGTCATGAACTATGCATTTTAGGAGAGGCACATTTTTTCGAAGAAATAGATTACTTGTTCCAATATAGGCTGTTGGGTGGTACATTATAAAATACTGGAACTATTTCCTACTTTATATAAATAAATTATATTTTGGAGATTTATTTTTTTTTTTTAAATCTCATTTGGGTGGAAAGTAGGAATAAGTCTGATATTTAAAAATGGAGGATATTATGATGCTGGTATTTTTCCCTTCAGTTTTGGGGATTTGATTCATTTTGGTCTGATGGACTACATTTGTTCAGGTTTAGCTAGAAATTTTCCCTTTTGTACATGGGGTCAAAAACAATGGTAATTAATGGCATAAACTAATGGATCAAATTAATAGAAGTGCTAGCAAAATAATAGTTATGGTGTTAAATAAATTTACTCACGTCAAGGAATATTTAAAAGAATAATGCAACGGATAGGATAAAGCAAAAAAAAAAAAACTTATCTGGTCCTATTTATAAATCACTTCTAACATATTTTATATAGACAAAAAAAATCTTAAACTTCATTAACTCTTATTTAAAATTTAACAATTTTTTAATTTTATGTCTATTAAATATACATTATACCTCATGTAAACAAAATCAATATAATAATAAATTAAAAATAAAATTGTATATCCACATAAAAATTTTTTCAAATGCCCTATAAATAAGACCCAAAAAATTTTGCTCTTTCTGTCTTGTAAACAAGACCAAAAGAGTGCATATATATGTATGTATATATATTATATTACCTTTCGTCCTTAATATTGATTTATTTTAATGAAAAAATTAAACTATAAAATAAACGTTTATAAACATTGCTCGTATTTCAATTAAGAATATTACTTATAAATCATTTCAAACAAAATTAGAAAAGGAACAGGCTGATGGTGTCAACATCTGGAATGAATCGATGCGCTGGTGCGACCCTACTGGTCAGAAATGTTGTCCAATAGAACACCATGAATGTGCGTTTTGCATTATGTCACAGGACAGAATGCCTAAATAAATACTTCTCCATTCCCAATATAACATTTAATTAATTAATTTAAATAAATTAAAAATATCAGTTAAATAAAATTTTTTTAATTCCTTTCCTCCTTCTCCTACTTAATTATTATTAAGAAAATATCAACATAATTAATTTTAAAAAATTAATAAATATAATCAATTTTCATATTAAGTCCCGAAAATAATAAATAAATAAACAGTAAACAGACCCAGTTTTAAATACCAACAGATAATTTTCGCCCAGTAAAAGTATGCGAAAGAATGGGCTATTCCTGTTTGTGTCCATGGCAATGTAAATGGCCTTTCGCCATACTCATGGTTTTAGGTTGCGTGGGTCCCATAAGTTGGGTAGGTGGTCTTTGTCTTCTATTGGCCGCCGCGTACTGGATATAACTACATATGATGTGATATAGGAGGCATTTGCGACCTGTAAAAGTAATATTGAAAATCACTTTTACGTAAAACGAGATAAATTTTTTTATATATTTATTTCGTAAACTATAAAAGTATTTTTAAAATTATGGTTTGATTTCTATCCAAATACCCCTATAATCTACATGCCTAATTTAATTTATTTAACAAAAACATGTGAACTTTATATGTATAAACACTTAAGTTGCTTTGATATAAAAATTCTGATGAGTAGCATTATAAACCGTTAAATAGTCCTATCAAACTCGCATGAGACCTACACTAATTTTTTTTTCTTCTTTTTTTTTTCAAAACAAGAACTCATAACAAGAAATTAGAATCTGGTGGACATGATGCCCGGTGTACCGGGTTCTTCTTGGTTTGTTCAGCCTGCCTGTTGTATTATAGGTTTTGGGCAATGCTAAAGGATTTGAGTTTTTTTTCTTTTTTTCTTTTGGGGACAATAAGGAATTGAGTTAATACTTACAGAACAAGTTGATGCCTGGGTGGTTGACCCAGAAATGTTGGGCTTAGTGGGCTTCTATCGAATTTTGGGCCAGGAATTTATAAATAACCCTTGAAATAACATTAGCTTGCCGCTCAAAAAGAAAAGCAACTTAAGCAACTTAAGTATAGTGGAAGGGTTAATCCCTCGCAATGAAAAGAATTAAAATTTGAATATCGATTGAAGAAAATACTCATATTTAATATCTGATAATATCTTATAAGAAGATACATATGCCAAACAAAAAAAGTAAAAACCTAAACCACATTCTTGGTGAAAGGGCCCGAAAAAATTTGAAATAACATGACAAATGTTTTATTTTTTTTTCATCAACACACACCCAACACTTGCTTATAGGAAGGGCCACGCAGTTCAGCACGGGATGGTGCTACTCTCTCAAAGCTGGTTGAGCAAACATATAGTACCTCCAGTTCTTAATATAAGACCTCATTTGATTTTTATTTTAATCCTAAATATAATATCTCAATCCACTTTGTTTCTTATATTTATACATTGTTTTCAAGGTATTCCTTCTAATGATGATAGTTCTAACCAATATACTTCATTAGTAAGGATATTTTAGGAAAGATAATATAGGTTTATTGCAACTAACTAACTTAACTTATTTCCTTAATTTTTTTAAATTAGTGAGCTAGTTCTTATATTTAGGATCGGAAGTAATACTACGGATCGTCTTTAATATAATATTTAGTTTATAATTTAATTTGAATTACAAACTAGATCTTATATTAATGATAAAAAAATATTGTTATTCAAGGTGTTTGTTTCTAATCAAATTAAGATATGTGAATCCTTTTTTTTTGGGCCACAAGATATGTGAATCTTTTTAAATATTATTTATTCCATAACAAACTTTTGCTATTCATGTTATCGATCCTTTAAAATTCACTTGATTGAAGAAACATGTATTAAATATATAAGGCTTAAGTATCCTTCATACATTAAATTGTATGAATAACTTTTTTTTTTAATAATGACAGATTTTTTTTAAATCTGATGCCAACCTTTATTTTTCCAATATGGGTGAAGATGGCATGCCAGCAAGACTGTGGCCAGTAATGGTGAATGAGTGGGGTTTTAATTTATTTTTCTAATAACTCTTTTAAGTTTCAACATCAGTCGTCCAAGCAAATGCATAATACTACCTCCGGTCCTAATTATAAGAGCCAGTTGACTAATTTGAGGAGATTAAGAAAGTAAATTGAGTTAGTTATTTGTCTTAAATAGGTGTTGTCTTTCCTAAAATATCCTTGCTAATCAAGTGTATTGACTAGAACTATCATTATTAGAAGGGCTATTTTGAAAAAAAAAATGTATAAATATGAGAAACAAAATGGATTAAGGTCTTATATTTAGGACCAAAATAAAAGTCAAACAGGGTCTTATATTAAGGACCGGAGGTAGTATTAAATCAGTCTAGTTGATGCCTTATTATATACCTACTCATCATACATAGATAATATATATATATATATATATAAACCAGCCTAAAATATCGAACCTATTAAATTAAAAAAAAAACAATAGATTGATATATAATAAGATTGTATAAGATATTATTAGTTGAAATAGTAAGCAATGTCATCCCATAAAAAGAAGAACACAAATTCAAATCTTAAAAGCATACTTATTGAGAAGTCTTTAATCTTAATACTCCGTATTCGACAGAGATTAATCTCAAATGTAAAGTGACTCCGGTAGATTTTAAGTTTATGAAAGAAAAATTGAACAAGAAATTAGTATTGCCTCCAGTCATGCATATAATAGGTCACTTGTACTCTAAATTATGCTATGAACAAGCTAATATTTAGGATACGAGGTAGTAAGATATTAGTACAAAAGATAATGGCATGTTCCTTTACAGGACAAAAGATGTGGCGGATTAAACTATAATTAAAATAATAATTTCACGAAAAGCTATCATTAGGCTTTGTTTTCTTGCATCGCTGTCCCTGACTCTGTCATATAATTGGACATTATCCAGCCAATATTTATTGACATCCTTCAACGTTGTCATCTTCTTCTACCAGCATTTCATTTCATTTAAAAAAAAAAACTGCCTTTTGTTTTTCATTTTTTGAAAAAGCCCTAGGTATTGGAATATTATTATTGCATACCTGCAGGAGGGTTTTACTGCTACTATATTATTCCTATATATGAGGCAGCTTTAATTAAGTTTGGTGTTTACATTATCAAAGATAACGAACTGTTCAGCTTTTTAAATGTACAGTTGGCTCTTGATACGAGGCAGCTTTATTAAAAAGTTGGCAAATGAAGAAGCCAACGATAACAACAACGAAGTTCACGACATTTTATATTTATTGTGTTGTGTCCATCCAACCGATAGTCTCCCTGTTATTTACTGCTTGATATATGAGACAGAAAGTTACCTTTCAGCACCTAAAAACAACTCAACATAAATGAAATCAGACAG